ATAATGGATGAGACAAGAGAGATTTAGGAATATGTTGACGAACAAGCATATTTAAGGACCACATAATACCAAAGTATAATACGAATTTCATTATTAAAGTCACAAATCGGGAAGAGTAGATGATGGATAGAAATAAGAAAGGTAGAACTAGAACTTCTGGCGTGGAATAAACCCAAAACAAACAGTGCTCCCAAACATCTCCTGAATATCACACGTTGAAAGGTAAGACCTCATTAGTCTTTAGCTCGCACAAGTTTCGACTTTCGAGAGTTGGTTAAGGGAAAAACAGATTTCAACAACATTTCCTGACGTGCATTTCTCAAACTAAGTTGGAGTCATCAGGAAATGGACTAGACTAATTCCCAACTCTATGTTTCGCCTATGCATATCGAACAAGGTACACTTCCACATTCAGTCTTGCATCAATGATTTCTTGAGTACAAATAAGCTAAAAATGTTCTCGTGAAAGTGTCCGTTAATTTTTAACAGAGTGATTCGCATAAAAGTATTCAATGGGTTGTTTAGAATGAAACAATTATCATTGGGAGACGCTGAGACGGTAACCAGTGGTTTATTCTACTCATTCAATTGACCGATATGTGAAACGGTGGTCAAGCCCTACGACCAGACGATCGATTTACACTGCTTATCGTCCAACCTGTGCACGACGAAAGATAAAACCCCGTAATTTCTTAGCTGGCACAATTTTGAACTTTTTAGTATAGTCGTTCGAAGGGGAACGATAATTGGTTAACACAAAACCATGTTTTAACATATTTTTTCTTCTGTTCAGATTTCTTGTGCACATTTTGCCAATTCCAGACTTTCGTAACCATCCAGAAGTCTAGTGTTACGTTTCGATCCCAACAATTTTATACAGTGTTCATTTATTCTACGGATATTCTTCAAGATGTATTGAGCGACATTAGATTTTTCGGGTGTCCGAAACGAGTTTCGGGGACTTTTTTTCACAGTCCTAATAGTTCATTTCATTTATCCCCGACTTTTCACTCTCCACATCTGTTGAAGTGGACAATCATATAGTTGAACAGGAAAGTGTAGTCCTACCATTTTCTGTCATGGAGAGTGGTGGGAGTTATCGGGCATATACGAGTATGTAGACGTATTGGCGTTCTTCCGATAGACATCGAATTCTAGATCATGCTTACCTCTAATCGCCAAGATATCTAAAATATATCCATTCAATAAAAAAGGCAACCCAAAGAAAGATATATGCGTGATCGAAGCATGATCACCACGCATATTTGCATCTATTGGGTAAAATAAGCAAGCCTCCTTACGCTGACCAATCAGATTTAACTGCAATCGGCTGGCAGAATTCATTGTTACAGTGCCGGAGTGGTCAGTTCTGTTTTAACACATGTGGTAAAAAAATTCAAATTTGTGTCCCTACACTCCACCTAAATATTTTCCTATACCCACCCACATATTATTAAAAAAAATGTCGTTCCTCAGTGCGACTCTGTACAAGCAGCCTTGTCTGGGAGATCACATGTTCTATGCATGATAATGTTTTAGAGCACTTTGTTGCTTAGATGTTATTTTAACATTTAATTAACACCTCGACACGTGTTTTGATCACCAAGCGATCATCTTCAAGAGTAAAATTAAACTTCAATCTTCCTTTCTTGAGATAAAACTCCAGTAATATTAATTTCTACATCAAAGATTCCAAACAGTGCATCACAAGTAGATGGACAGAGTAAATGGTAACTATTTATTGTTTCAAACTTGATGTTCGGGGATCTATTGTTACGAAAAGAAACAAAGACCTAGGTATACCTAAAATTCCTTCGTGTCCAAAATCGCACGAACATGATCACCATATCATATACAAATATGTGGAAAGTAAGTTAACTTGTTTGCTTCTAATTCAAATATTATCATAAAAAGATTAGCTATGAAGGGGGGCAAGAGGTTTCCTATTGCCACATTCTCGTATTGTTTTTTTAGTGCAGATTTTTGTTAGTTGTATGTATGATATTTACCATTCTCAGATATCTTGATAACTAAAAATAATCAGTCTCTAGAATTTGATGTCTATGGAATGATATATTCCAATTATGTAAGCTGATAGCTTTCATCATTCTATGTAGGTATACAACAAAAAATAGCGAGACTATGCTCTCTTGTCCACATATTTCTAACGTTTCTCATAAGTTGAGAAAGATACGATACTAAGAAAAATGTTAGGAAGATCATATCTGAACGCAATGATAATATAGTAAATAAGTTTATTAGAAAAAGTAAATTTATGGAGAATATACGTAAAAAGATACCAATTCCTTGTTGTTCCGCATAAATCAAGAGACATGAACGGATTAGATCGCATTTTATTGAAGTAGTTTTCAAACCTGGTGGCTCCCTTCAACAAGTGTTAGGTAAGACTAAAACGAAGCTGCTGTAAAATAAAAAATCGGAGATATAAGAAATGAGCTGTGAAGATTGTGATAAAAAGTGTATTTCAAACTAAACGAAGTATTTAAACTTGCTTCAAAGAACACGCAGTACATATACCAGTTAAGGCGCCTTATCGCGCCTTACAGAACGACCATAGAATAAGTGACCACTGTGTAAAATTATTGAGATTACACAACACTAGACTTTTGAATGCTTTTGAAAGTTAGGACGTAACAAAGTGATTACTTTCATTCAATACACTCTATCAAAGCTTGCACAAAAAATCTAATTTGAAATCATTGATATATGATTAAAAGAGAAAGTGAAAGTGCATCCTGTTGATATGCGAAGTCTGTTCAAAAAATGAGGTGAATTTTCATTTTTCCAGGGCGAGCACAACTTCTCGACCTTCCTTGAAAAGTATATACCACTTGTAAACATTTTTCTGACTCTCAGCTTTGCCACTGTCAACATTTCAAGTGTTTCAGAGTATCTTATTCCATTTTTTACAAAAAATTTTATGCAAATTCATTGATCCTTTTTTTCGTAGCAGCAAATTGCCGAACATGAAAAATACTTCTAACTTTTATGCCTCACACCAACAAACTGAACCAGAATGAAAATACAAAAAAATCGCTATTCAAAAGTACGTAGCCGGCGAAATTTGAACATTCACCTTATTTTTTGAACACACCTCGTAAATAGGTTAAGTTTATAGTTAGGAATTAGTGTAGTATATCTCCTGATGACGCAAACTTGGTTGGTGAAACGCATTTTAGGGATAGTGTTGCAGTTATGCAGTTTGGGAGTGGAGCTTGTTTTGAACAAGAACATGCTTGTCATCCCCATTCAGAACATAGACAGATCCAAAATTGAAAATTGGACGGGATCCGGAATATAATGTTCGTTCAGAAATTTACATTAGAGTTGCCCGCCTTGGTCCAAAGGGTGATATCAAGACTGGTCTGAGATTGACGTAGAGAACTAAAAAAACTGGCGTTCTCGACTGATGAATTGACTCTTTAGGTACTTGATGCCAGGACCCTCAGAGGACCTCAGAGGTAGGGAAAAATTGGCCAAAAATTGCTCAACGACATCATATAGTAATGAACTTCAGAGTTGCAAAATATTTGAATTTGGAAAAAAAATGGACAGCATTATAACAAATCATAAAATATCCTTGTCTATGTGGGCGAAATACCGCTGGTTAGTCAGGCAACCAGTAATTCACCAATTCGGACACATTTAGCGATGGTGCACAGTATCAAAGAGAAAGAGTGTTCAATTCGAATGATACACAAAACCGGGTTAGTTTTTCGAGCCGACATTTGATATTTTCTTTGGCAGCCTTACCACGACGCAAATCAGATACAATTTACAAAGTGTTTTTTGGTTGTTAAATGTTAAAATCTGCATTGCGGCGCTTTAGCTTATGCTTGCACGGGTAAAACTCAATTTCCATAATTTATTTTCGTCTTAAACGTTATTATACATTTTCGTAGATTGCTATCGCCTGTGACTCGTCACTCATACCACTAATTGGTGAAACACGTGTTGCGTTTTTATAAAACGGTTAAATGAAAATCTCACTATAAAGTGTTTTTGAATACCTACGTTAGTTATGGATTTTCATCAAGTGTTGGCCAATTCCGTCATATACATTCTTTTTCTGTTTTCAAAACCTGAAATGTACTTCAAAACTTTCTTATTCAATTGTGATAGTTCTAATTCTTTTGGCGCATGTCGAATTGAGTTTTATGAATGGTTGCTGATAGAAAGTCAGGAGGTTTGACAAAAATGGATTATTTATGTCTGATAGGCTAATGAGAATCCACACCTTACCCGTTAACGGAGTTTTAACATTTATTGTGCTATGAAGCACAATAGGATTCTGTGTTTGTACTCCATGGTGAAAATTTGAATAATGGGCGTTCACGTCTAGTTGCAAATTTTCAAAAGATGTGTGGAGTTGATGTATCTTTGAGTACTGAGATATTGGTTTCTACCTTTATGGATGATGTTTTTTGGAGACAAACTTAGGAAAACACATGTATTGTGATGAATAGCTGAATGTATCATTACAGTGGCTACAAAAATCGATGAAAAAAACTAGAGATTCGTTAACAAAATTGATAAGGAAATCCAATGATCGAAACGTCGCATCGTAAATTGGTTCATATCAGATCATAATAAATATGAAACAGTATTGAAAGTTCGTCTGCCTTTTTTATATCATTTGAAATGTAGGCGGTAGAGAGCCAAAAAACGAAATTCAAAAATTCTAGTTTTCAGCGAATATTTCAGAAACAACCACTGATATTCTTGATCTGAACAGAGATTATTGTAGTTCCCCAAAATAGGAAACGTTTGTTCAACATAACCGATCATGTAGATCTTACCGTTCATGTGATAGCAATGATGGGATCAGCTGAAAAACGGCAATTTACCAACAGTTGTATCACTCAACATCGCAGTTTTCTTGAGGTCATTGAATCTGAGTAAGCTCTGCGAGGATTTTTTAAGGATATTCATTGGCAACACTGCGGAATAATAACAAATGATAATTGACAATTGACATTTCTGTCATTAGTTTATCAGTAGGGCGAGGGTAGAAGTTATTTGAATTCGAAAATATACATTTTACATAAAATGGCTAAAAATACTTCTAATTCGGCATTCAGAAAGATTGATGTTGATCAGTATTCCGAAGACAATTTTAAAGAAGATGAGACTGATTCTGGAGTTTCGGCAGGAGCAGATGAAAACGAAGTCAATGGATTTCTTCAAAAATATCCTTTTTCATGATTAGAAGTAATTTCTGAAAATTTTGATAAACATTGAACCTTTACAACATATAAGAACGGCATTGAGAAATTCGTGCAATCCAAGATGCTGTCATGTGTAAATGAAAAATTGAGCTTATATAAAAGTATGACTTCCTTGGGTGCCTATCAGAATATCCATTATTAACAATTGGAATTGAAGCTTTTTTTCATCATTGTTATAACTGAGAGTAAGTACATTTTGAGAAATGCTGTTATGACAGTATTAACATAGGCTCCAGGACATGAGTCATCTCATATGTAAAGACAGGAAATATATTTTTATTGGCACCAAATGAAACTGAAATATGCTAAGGTTTGGTACATCCAGTATGTGTGATACATCTGTGGAACTCTCCAAAACGGTTGACTTATAATGGGTTATTTTTTTTTGCAGTTCATATAAAAAAGTATAATTGGTCATGGTTTCTCAGAGACTAATTAAAAATCTGTAAATGCCATGTTGTAAAGCTTGGAAAATGGCGATGAGTATATTGTAATTAATGAGTCATAAAACTTTTCAGAAAAACAAATGATTCGTTTTCAAATTGTTTGTCCAAGTATACCTCAAGGTCTCAAAGACTTAGAGATATAACTTTTCTCCTCGCAATAAATGCACATACCACTGATGATGTCTACCACAGTAACACACGAAACGTTTGGTACTTCTGGTTCCATTTGACTAAGGCCTACTAGCCTGGATTTTGTTCTCTTCAATACTTCACACTGTTGGACAATAACCCATGAATAGTAATGAACAATGGCAATGGAAAATCAATCAACCCATTTCAGCCACCTGGAATATTAGACAGGCAACAATTTTGTTAATTTTTGCAAAACTGGTAAGGTGGCAGTCCGAGGCATTTTGCCTGCCAAGAAGATTTATTAGAGAATTTGAAATAATCTCTTGGCCAAATAGCGTATCTAATGAACAAGAATTGTCAGCATTTACTTATCTCTAAAGAAACTTTATTAAAAGCTACAGGCTATGCATTTGAGCTGGAGGGAGACACTTCGAACATTTATTTTAAATATTTTTTTTGAACTCTCTGAAAAATTAAAGATAATATCCATTTTTCCTATTTACGTAGAGATCCAGCACTAGGTGTCATCCGTTGGGGCGTTGCGACACCCATGCTAATTTTTTAAAATGGTAATTCAGATTTTTCAATTTGTTTTTGGAATCTGCATCAAACTCTGAATTCAGCCATATAGCACACTTGTAGTTTCCCTTGAATACTGAAATTGAACTTCATGATGATGATCAGTTTCTGAACAAAATATTATGAAGTGATGAAAGCCGTTTCCATAACAAAGGTATATATAATAAACAAACTTAATTGTCACTATTGGTCTGATGTGAACTATCATTGGATGCAAGAAACGAGATTTCAGTCTGTGTGAGGGGGTTAATGTTTTGTGCGGAATAATTGATGGTTATTTGATAGGACCCCATTTTTTCAAAGGAATTCTCATTGGAGAGATATTTTCTTCCTTCATGTGTTGCCGAATCTCTTGAAGAATTTACCAATACAAACTCGACTGAATATGTGGTTTCAACAAGATGGGGTACTTCCGCATAGTAATAGAATAGTTAACCAATATTTGGATGGATTGAAATGAATCGGAAATAAGGGTCCAATACCATGGCCAACTCGAAGTCCAGATATTACTCCACTAGATTTCTTTTTGTGGGGATATATTGAATTCTTAATTTATATGCTATGTTCACAAAATGCAGATGATTTAAAAAATTATCACAAATGTTTGTACTTCCATATCATGAGAGACGCTTTCAGCTGTCAACAAATCAAGAATTACTAAAATAGATGCGATATGTGTATTCTACGTGAGGGAAGAAAGCTCGAACACTTACTAAAATGATTCATGTTATCACTAATTGTTTTCATTATCATGTTGGCCGAGTTATGGTCCGAGTAAAATGTTTCTTCATAATTTGAAACATTTATTTTAGTTTGTATTGTCTGCGATTTTACAGAAACACACAACTAGATGTAGCTGAACATGCAATGCAATTATAACAGATGGATTAATTTTATTAAACTCGTATTATTCCATTCATTTTGATTTCATGACCCTCTTTATAATATGCAATGAAATTGCCTGCCTGTTTTCATCAGTATTCAAAGGAAACTACAAGTTTCCTATATGTTTGAAATAAAAATATGATGCAGGTTCCAAAAACAAATTGAAAATCTGCGAAGAAAAAAGAGAAAGACATTGGTTTACTCGAAATGTAAATATAAATGAACCAGACATCAATTTTCTGATGAAGAGAAACAATTTATTGTACTCTCAATGGTGATTTTCAGTGTCATTCAAGTTTTATTTTTGTTTCCTAGAAGTATATGGTTTAATCTACAATGATAATTTCTGGTTAGATGATGGTGGTTGTTAAGTTCAAAATAATCTTTTACGGTGATATGTGATAAGTTCCATACTTGTTTGAATGTGATTGATAATGCTCCATGGTGGATTAGAAGTTTGACCCTTCAATGTGAATAAATGTAATAGGATGGACAGAATGAAGTAGATATGAAAAATTTCGAATTAAAACAGGATGAAAATATTCAGACGCTGAAGTTAGAAGAAAAAATATTCTAGCAACAAATTATTGCTCATATGGTTTTCCCTTTGTCTCACTTTTGTGTATGTTTTGCTATATATTTTACCTTAATATTTATTTATTTAATATATCCATTTTTCCTATTTACGTAGAGATCCAGCACTAGGTGTCATCCGTT